AACTGTAGAGGGTCCAGTGAGTCGGGAAGTGCAGAGCAGATGAAGACCCTGACCCCTGAAATGGCTCTTTGGGTGCGGTTGCAACAGCGAAGAGGGACTCCCGATGACGACAGTCGCCCGGACACGCCTCTCCCACGACACGCGCTTCCGTCAACAGCCCCGAGGACCGGGGGGAGAGAGAGAGAAGCAGGCACACACACACACACGCACACACTCTACATACAAATGTGGACAGAACAGTAGACGACACAGACCCCACATAGTAGTAGTAGTAGTAGTAGTAGTAGTAATAATAAATAATGATAATAACTGCTCTCGGACCCCTGAGTCCTCCAGAGCCGGTCCGTGACATTAAGAACCCCAAATTTGGACTTTTTGATAACAGAAAGAAGCTTCTACACTCATTTAATTTAGTTCTGTTAATTTCAAAGCTTCTTTTCCTTTTTCTTGACTAATGGCGTCACCTCCTGTAAGTTGGCATGACTTTTGAGTCATATGTATAAATTCTAAATGAGTGAAAGTCAGGGACTGGGCCAGATCGGACGGTCTGAGGCAGCTTTGTTCTGGTCTCCACCTCTGTGTGGAGTTGCTTCCTTGAGCTCATCCACTCACATCTGCAGGTAGTTTGAAATCAAGAGGCTGTGCATTTAGGAGCTGTGGTGATAGATCTCCACCAGTTTGTATTCCTGCCATGGTAGTAAATGGGCTCTGTCTCTTGTCTTCATTTCTCTGCGTTTACTCTTTAGTAACTTTTGTATATCATCTTCTATGTAGAACTACACACCTGCTACTATATAACTCATCTGGAAATCTTACCTCTCCCATCTCGAGGAATTTCCAGTTATCAGCAGGTTTTTGCCATTCTGCTTGCAGCTACGCCAGGGGTGTCCAACTGCAGGCCTCGAGGGCCGGTGTACTGCAGGTTTTAGATCTCAACCTGGGTCAACACACCTGAATGAAATGATTAATTCATTACCAGGCCTCTGGAGAACTTCAAGACATGTTGAGGAGGTCATTTAGCCATTTAAATCAGCTGTGCTGGATCAGGGACACATCTCAAACCTGCAGGACACCGGCCCTCAAAGCCTGGAGTTGGACACTCATGAGCTATGCCATGCCTCTCCAAAAAGCCCCAAAATCACTGAAGACTCAGCTCCTCCCCCTCTACGCCACTGCCACACGCTTGCTTTGAAACCCGGCCAGGGCACTGGTAACCACCCTCGCCATCATCACCCAGTGCGTGCCAAGTAAGGCAAAGCAGAACAGTTATCCAAGCAGCCATTCTCCATCTTCTCACCTACGAGTACTATCTTATATGATACCTGATATAGCTCATAGTTTCTGCCCACCCAGCTCCCCCTCTTCCCAGCAGCACTTTGAAAACAAATACTGAAAACATGAATCCCACCATCTGGATCCATTAGAGCTGATTGAGGAGCATCAGGGTGCAGAAGTAAGCTTGAGAGAAGGTGAGAAAGAAAAGACACAACCAACATGAGCACAAGGACAAACTAGGGTCACACACAACTTTATACAAGTAAAGACACACATACATGTACAGTAGTGCAAAGAATATTATGTAAAACCGCTCGACAATAGTGGAAAGAATACCTATAAAGTGTATCGATATGAGTCAAAGTGTGCGTCTGCAGTTCAGCATCAACAAATGAAGTTAACAGGAGTTCATGTGACTAGTTCACATGACATAGAAATCAGCTTTTAAACAGAGTGCAGTTATGGGTTTCTTCAAATATTAACTAGGTGACAATAAATGTCACCCACAGATCCACCAATTAAACTGCAAACAAGATATGATCAGCGTTAATTGTTCACTGTTTCAAAAGAAAATAAAGTCTGTGTTATAACATGTCTGTGACACAGATGTTTTTGAAGCTGTTGTTAAAGTTGTTTACACCAACGTTTAAAATCTAATACAACAGGAATGAAGAACAAAAATGGTCACAACTATTACTAACAGTGTGACTCACAGTAGTAATTGCTTCATTCAATCTGCCACATCAGAGCACTCTACCTGAAAAAAGGACAGCAGGTGTGTTTTTGTAACATTTTTTTAAAGAAAAAAAAAAACAGTGCCCCTTATAATCCTGTGTGCCCTATGTATAAATTCTGGTTGTGTTTACTGACCTCGAAACGATTTTATGTGGTACACGGCGCTCGAAAATCTGTCAAATGTTTCAGTACGACTTTGCTAAGCTACGAAGCCGCACCGCTTGATGGATTGTCGGAGCATTACGGCTATCGTAGGCAGGAGCCTTGCGGAGGCTGAAAATGGCCAAAACGCCCGATGAATCCAAGGTCCACTACTGACGATATGATAATCTAGATCAGATCTCTAATCCCTAAACCTAACCAAGGAAGAAAAAATGACAGATTAGCCTGGGTAAAAGACTGAAAGTTGAGGCACACAACGATGAGTGCTGCTGGGAAAGTTTCTGGGCTACCTTTCCTCATAACAGCCATCCCTCAAGAGTCTCTCCATTTAAATCGATGCATTATCAGGGACTGTAACATCTAATCCTTTTACTGAATCAGCAAACTTCATTCCTGTCACAAGGCAGAAGCTGCAATCACCTTTTGCCAAACTTACATATCTTATATTCATCCAGTTAAAAAGTGTCATTGACATTAAAAAGTGTTTTTATGAGTGATCTGGCCAAGAGCAGGGCTCTAGACTAACTTTTCTCCATGGGGCGCACCGGCACAAAAGTTAGGCGCAGTTGCAGTCCATACAGACAATATTCATTTCTAAATTATTAACTAACAATCTTGTGCTTTAAGTGCTTTGTCAATATTGTAGAAAATGTTAAACTTAATCATCATCTCGGCCTCCTCTGACAACCTGTTTGCTGTTGCATGCTGCTGAAAGGCAGTGGGGAGAGGGGACACTTGGACAGTGCATTTATTGCAGCATATAATGTGTTTTCTGGATACACTGTGCTTTTTCAGCATTCAAAGACTGATGGCACCGTGTCAGAGCACTGGCTATGAATTTCAGACGGATCAGGCCTTAACTTAACAAAAAAGTTATCAATAGTTCTTTTCATCTTTTCTTGTTACTCACAGCTACATCCACTTCTGTCGGGCCTAGGCTGCTCACTAGGGCTGGGTATCATCACTGATTTCTATAATCCATTCAATTCCGGTTCTCAAAGTCCCGATTCGATTCAATTTAGCCTCAGACAGTCAGAAATATTATAATTCTGATCATTTATCAGTACTGATACATGTGTGACTTCATCAGAATTGTGAACATCACAGCAGATGCCTTTGTGTCAAAGTAACTGAGAATAAAACACAGAAAAACATGAAGGAGCTTCTGGCCTGGCTTTTTATAGCAGATAACCTTAAAAATATTCTGAAATATTCTGTAATTTTGCATAATTTTAAAAAGTTTAAATCTCTTCAGTATTGAACAGCAGAAATTAGGCTTTCCTGTCCAAGGTCATTTAAGTGAAAAAAGAAAAAGAAAAGAAAACGACAGTGGCCGACAGCGCTGTAAACAACGGTAGACTGGTGGGTAATAAGAGAATGAATAATGCAGAAAACAGAGATTTGAGACGGGAAACTGTTCTTGAAGTACAAAGAGAGAGAGAGAGCTGTGCATTAGGTGTGATTTTTATCGTGGTGGAAGCAAAACAGCAAAAGTCAGAGGGAATTCATGACAATGTTTATCAAATGTGAAGCGCAGTTTGCTGCTTGTTTTGCTGCTGGCTCGGCAAATTTTGGTTGGAGAGAGACAAAACCTGCAGCTCAGAATCAGCGCAAAACTATTTCAACAACCACCAAACAGCAAATGAGAGCAGGTACACGGATTCCACACAAAGACGTAAACACAGAGCGGACCCGACGCATCAGAATCGGTGAGCTCCGACAGCGTGTCCGTCTACGGGCCGTCGGGTGAGAATGCCGAGAAAGACAAAGCTGATTCTGATGAGTCGGGTTGACTCTGTGTTTACGTCTTTGTGTGGAATCCGTGTACCTGCTCTCATTTGCTGTTTGGTGGTTGTTGAAATAGTTTTGTGAGCTTTAAACTGAGAATCTGGCGTTTCTGACAAAACACAGTTATATTTAAAGCTACTCACCTCCCTCTATCCATCTGCACTTTCAACTGGACCACGGCCAAATAGAGAGGTCCCGCCCTTGACTATCTCTGATTGGTTTGGTCCATGAGAGGGGCATAATGTGTGTCTGTTGTTGACCACACGGAGAGTTGCATAAATTTTTTTTTTTTTTTTGTTACCCAAACAGTTGGTGCAACCAAATATTTTTTTTAGTCGCACCAGTGAAAAATGTGGTCGCAAATGCGACCACATTGGTCGCACTCTAGAGTCCTGCAAGAGGATAGCAGAAATGGCAACAAATATAACAATAAAGATATTTTAGTTGGCATAGAAGGACTAATGTGTTTTACTAAAATAAAGAGCCTGTAATGTCTTCTTTAACAGATCCGCAAACCGGGTCCGGATCGGAGTCCACTTGCACAGCGAGTCTGGAACTTGATTTGGATCCAGTCGTTTCCCAGCTCATCCGACCCGGATCCGCTGTTGATTATAAGCTAGAATGATGCCCGCTAATGTTTGGCTCGAGTGTCCTAACGGCTATTATGGTTGCCAAGGAGAGCCCTTAATCTCCTACAAGGAGACTTTATACAGGTTAGTGCTGGTCTACATGTTCTTTGTTGTCATCCACTGACATAGATGCAGGTTTTGTAATCATAATCCATTTGTTCTTCCATGTACATTTTTTCTTACATGATTTTGTTTTTTCTGTGCAGAGTTTCCAAAAGGCGACGGCCCCGTCCCCGTCCAGTCCCTGACAATATTGACCAAGACACAGTTGAATACAACACTGATGATTTTGTTGACTACAGTAGTGACAGCAACAGAGGTCTCTTTAGAGCCATGAACGCATTGGGACTTTTGGTCCTCCTGCTGGCCTTGTGGTAGTACTACGTGCTTTTCTTCTGGATTAAGCTTCTCTTCTTATTCTGAGTTTCTCTTCATCCACCAGGATTGATTTTCAGTATTGGAGGGCTGAAAATGGACTTTTCCACCCTGTTCATGAGTGAGGTATGAAAATCATATTAAGCTCATAATATATTCCATGAAAATTACTCAGATAATGCCATTTTATTATATATTATTATTAAATAGACTTTTCAATCCAGAGTACTTCGAGATTAGCACCCGCTGCTATCTGTATATCCTCCCTCATAGTAATCACAGTATTCCTAAATTTACCATCCTTTCAAGAGTTAAAAAACATTTATCCGACTAACCCATCTTGTTTTTTTTGTCTCTCAGGACCACAAAGTAGATGTCATCCACTCCGTCACACTGAATGTGTTGAACAACTGGGGCAATCGTGAGTATTCTTGTCTGTACAGCTTCCGTGTTCATTCTTTATGTATAAAAGAAAAGAGAGGAAAAATGTGAAAGTGAATCAGACTCCAAAACATATTTAAATAATTGTATTAGATCCAAAACATCCGGAAGCATAAACACAAATAAGCACACACACAGAGAGGGGGTAAGCAGAGAAAACAACAAAACACTACACACGGAAAATAAACATATTTATAAGGACCTCCCGAGGAGGACGACCCATGAGGATCGCCAGCCCGAGGTAAGTACAAAAAGACATAAGTCCTGGGTCCCCAGATCCAGGCCATGATATAAAGTGGTCAGTGTAACTGTTCTCCCAGGCAGTATTATAAAGGGTAGTATCCAGACATCCATGAAAAGGAAGATTTATAAGGTTGAGGTGAGTTAGAAGTAAGCTAGCCAGCTGACATGATATATTTTGTACCGGCTAATGTATTTAATAAAACGCACACACGCACATACAACACTGCTAAAACAGTGGAAGTAAACAAAATTGAAAATCTCCATAACAGAGTTTTTTGGAGAGTTAGTTATGTTAGCCTAGTTGAGATTATCTATCTACCAGGTGACTAGCTACAGTGGTGCCAGTACACACAGCAGCACTGCAAGTGTTTGTTAGAATGTTTAGGGTAAGCATTAACTTTCTTTCAATGTACGTGCATGTTGAGGGTCAGTCAGTGAGGTTCAGCTCCTGGGAGTGCCCGATTGGCAAAGATAAGTGCCATCATATGGCTGCATTGTTGATTTGGGTGGAGAAGAATGTGTATGGCACTGATGTGGAATGTGTATAGAAGAGCGTGAAATTATCCTAAGCAGAAGAAATTACTGCCAAGAGAGTGTCTGACATGACACCATCAACAACACAAGGTCAGTTATTCATTTAAAATTCACTCTTTGTTCTAATTATTCTCTTAATTTTACTTAAAGCATTGTGTTTAATATTGAGACACACATGTAGTGAACATCAAAAATTTTAAAATGTTCTTTAAGTGAAGAGTCCTATATAAATGCTCGATAGTATCTGATCTTAAAATTACTACTTATTAAAAGTATTTTTTGTTTTATTTTATTTCAGCTGGAATCAAAAGACCTGTCACCCAGGAGGACAAAGAATGGGCAATGGCATCTCTCTCAAAACTTCAGCGTTTTACAGGGATGGGGTGGATTTTGAGTCCAGAAGGCCCTCAGGGAATTTGATATTTACTTTAACACATGGTATAAATTATACATTTATGTAAACTCCTGTAAACTACAGATCATAGTGTTTGCCTCCACTGTCCCCACTTTAATTTTATGTATTTTGTGTACTCTACATGTAACAGGGTCATAAATCACATTGTTATAATTACACAAAATGTGTTCTAAACCCCCAAACT